GTCTACGTTGTTTGTACGACAACCTCTAGTTGTAAACGGAAAATCTTAAAGAAAAGTATTAATAATCTTAATATATAAAAGCATATCTAACTGTCAACTGTGCAACACTAGTTTTATACACCTCAGTTTTATTTACAAGGGTACTCTTGTCGATACACTTTGGAGAAAGAAGTAGCTCACAGTATGTCACAGATCCCTTGTATTATAAAAGGTAATCTTCAATTGTGTGCACTCTTTCTGGCACATGTCAATACAGATTAGTTCCGGTTTACATATTCTCAGAGCATGTAATAATGCTGATTTCTTACACATGAGTCAAAGTAAACGGCATTTTTTTTAAATTGCCGAATGATAGTAATCGTAATTAGGCCAGTAAGGCTGTAGCCAGTCCTAGCTGGTGCGTTGACGCTTTTTGGCAGGGTGTTCCTCAGAGGAATGTGCAGGTGCAGGCATTACCATCTCACTACCTCTATTAAACATATATTTCAATTGGGGCATGTATTTCATTATACTTTTTACTTGTATCAATGGTAGTTCCTCATTCAATGATGAACACTTCCCTGCATCCTTTAACATTTTCATTTGTAGCCTACAAAGTAAAATCCATAATATAAAAAATCAGTGTTTCCTTATCTATTATCTATTACTAATTATTCTCTTACCCATTTCCTTGATACAAGTCTATGTGCAAGACGTCTGTGAGGACTTGCCGACAGCTATTAATGTCGCAAGAAGGAAAATACTGAGCGACAAAGTCAGGGAGTGTCATCAGCAATTCAGAATATATATACGGCTTGAAATTAATGCAAGGTACCATTTTGTCTTCAACGAGCGCTTTTTGAATTTGGTAAGGTTGAACTTGACAGGTTGATATATGTGTTTCTGATATTGGGATCAACGGTTTTCTACCCCTTGAATCCCTAGGAATAAATACTTCAATATAATAATAAAATTACTTTGTGTGTGTATAAATATGTATAACTTTTATTAAAAATTTAAATATAATAACATAGTAATTTGATATAATAAAATTAATGATCATTCATACCTGGAACTGTTGTTACTACCATTAACTGGTATTAATGGTGGTGGGTATTTCGCATGAGACGTATTATGTACGGATGGTGTATGCCTTTGTGGATGTAACAGTGTAGATACCGAAGTAGGCGATGGCATCAGAGCCTGTACTTGTTCGCTTAAACCAAGCATTTGAGGGTATGTACTTGCTGTAACAGCATTTGGTATACCCAACGAAGGTGTAGTATATGTTGATGTGACCCTAAAATGGAAAAATTTCATGTTTAATCTTAAGAAACATAAATTTAAAAAATACATATATGTTCAACTATAATTTACATGAACTACAGTACTTAATAAAATTGTAAAATGTTTATATAAGATACAATATTGTACAGAAAATCTACACATTGTTAAATAGTTTGAAAAACTTGAAAGTATAGTTTAAAAGAATATAAATAGAGAAATATATACATGAGATATTAATTATTAGATTCCCTACAAAATGTATATATCGATCCACTGTGTTTGTGCATAAATAGCAAACATATTTTGTATCTCATACAAATTTTAATATTTCATCAGTTAATATTTTAAACAAAAAGATAATAAAGATCTAAAACTATTATATTATATTACGTTATTATGTAATAAAATAATGAACAAAAGAGAGAAAGAACAAAAATTGAAAATTGATATAAATGATAATAATCAATGAGATTTATTCATATTTTTTATATGATTATCAATATCTCATTTTATAGAATTTCTACAAAAAAGGATTGATAATAATCTACTTCATGAAAAATAAGAATGAAAGTATACCCAAGAAAATATAAAGCAGATATATGTGTTTAGTAAATAAAAGAAATAAAAACATTAGAAATAGAATATAAGTACTGTTTGAAGAGGCAACACAGGCAATATATAGTTACTGCAGATTTATATAAATCAAAAATTTGTTAATTATAATGTTCTTGTGCATGCTATCTTACTTTTGTGTAGTAATCATGACTATAGTACATTTTACAGGGACTCACCAGTCATCCTTCCCATAGGTTGGATAACTATACAAAAAAATCATACGTTGTATGTACAAATGCAAAAAGCTATAGTGCAGGTTTTCCACATAATAAATAATAATATTTTTGCAGATAATATATATACTCCAAATAAATAAGTGGTTCCCTAAAATTTGACACTGCATGCTTAATGTATTCTAATATACATCATATTAAGATCACTTTTCAAATAAAGCTATTTTAAATTTTTAATATGCATTGATAAACTATATACAATGTGAGTGATAAATACAATGACTTATTTTACACTAACATGACTACCAAATGAACAAGGTTGTATTGAATTAGTATTTAATTTCACCTTGAGTTTGGATAATACATCAAGAAAAATAAATTGTAATTAATCATTAAAAAGGAAATAATATTTAATGTACGTATATAATTTGTTATATATAAACAAACAAATTTAAATAAAATATTTTATAGCGTGCTCTTTAACACTAAAAACTCACATCTAATATATAATTTACTGTTTTCTAGTCACTAAATTGAAAGCAAGCACAAAATATTGATAATGCCGTGAGGACAAGAAGAGGAAATGCTTAACATTAAAAATGAAAATATTGCCCTGAATATTCTAAAGCTTCATTTGAAAAAACATAGATATATATTGAGAAACAAAGCTTTTGAAAAGATTCTTTGTTGCTTACCCAAGATTAGGTTGACTGGAGTGAACCGTTGCTCTGACAAGAGGGGGTGGTTGGGCCTGAGCAACATTCTGCATAGTTGTAACTGGATAAACTCCAGGATATTGAGCTGCTGCACTACCTCCACCCCCTCTACTTCTACTAGATTGTTGCGAATAAGTTTTTGGTGGTGTAGATATTTGCTACAATAAGAAATCTCATACTATTATTGATGAAAAATTTGTTATTATGTTGTTTCAATATAATTTGTCAGTAACAATATGACTGCAAAGAGTATTTACATCTTTTTATCAAGTTTTATACTTTACTTTTACAATATCAAATTATTGTAATCACATGGAAACTAGTATGTGCACATACAATGATGTGCAAATATAAATAACTTTTGTAGCCATAAATGTTGTGTGATAAATCAAATATTAAAAACCAAATTAATTTATCATAATATTAATATGTACATCATACAATATTCCAATTTTAAATTGTACTTTAGATGAAAGAAGAAGATCCTTGGAATTCTCTTTCATAACAAGGTAAATAAATAAAGAAAATAAAATTTCATGGGAGAAATGAATTTAAACACTGACAAAGAAAATGCTGCATCGATACAACACTGGCTCTTAATGGATTAAATTTCACTTTCTTTACAAAAATATCTATGAAAAAATAAAGAAATGTTCTTCAAAGAAAGATATAAATACATATTCCAAAGTTGTCACAAAATTTTAACAAAAATATATTATTATATATATATAGATATCCTTTAACAATTGAACATTTTACGTTGAAATATGTTACAAAAAGAAAAACAGAGATATCGTTGACTTACATTGTGCATGTTTAGGGATGAGGGCATTCGTATAATAGAACTAGGTTGAGATACAAGCGCCGTTTGGAAGGTGGGTTGACCACCGACAAGCCCCGTCCAGCCATTAACACTTTGTACCGTGTTCAACATTGGTTGTGTGACAATATTCGACCTGCCTGAGGACAGTGCTGTCGGTGACGAATGTGCAGGATGAGTGGTCGAAACGGGTCTCGGTTGGCTGACTCGTTGCTGCACTTGCGACGTATTCGCAACGGATCCACGTGGTAGCATGTTATGCATAGGAGCAGCACGTGAGTTGACATTCGCTTTACTCGCGTTATTTTGCACGGGAACTTGTTTGATCGCCGGTGGCGTCGGTGGTTGTTTGGTCCAACCGCCACCGCTGCCACCACCTTTGCTATTCACTAACAATTGAGAGTCCATCACTTTCGTCGGCCAGTAATCTTCGAATCCCGTGCCAGGGGGGAAATAACTTTTAATGTCATTCAAACTAATCACTGAACATGTCTCACTGGCGAACAGTTCGTTACGAATACCCTGTACTTTGCAACAAAATTTTAGATACGACAAGTCCCAGCCTTCGAGCTTCTCCGCTTTTAACTTGAGATTCTCGGTCTCGCCCTCGAAGTAAAACAAAGGTACGTATTGAAGGCCGTCCTTCACCGTGTAAGGTACCACAGACTCATTGTTTATCCGAATGAACCCGCATTTGTCAGCCCTGTGTCCATTGGACACGTTCGGGTTCGTGCCGGCCGTTAATTTCGTGTAACACACGTCCAGAAACGTATAAAACTCCTTCGCGTCCGATAGCCGGACCACTAAGTCTTTGCACGTGAATGGCTCCCGTCCGAACTGATTCTCGCAGTGCTTCACGTTTATGTCGGTGAACAGCTTGCTCTCCGCCTCAGTTATGTAGTAACTTCTTATGCACGTACAACTGTAGATATCCGAGTGCAGGTAACTCAGGTACTTATTCAGCAACTTAGACTCTAAAATTCGTACAGCGCAGTACTTCTCGCCGGAACGAAATATATAAGGTATGTGACAATCGTCGAAGCTGGTCCATCCAAATCGGCCTCGTTGGCTCTCGTCATCCGGCGGTACTTTGCCTTCGGCCGAAGGAGGTTTCGTTGACACCGAGGTGGTTGACGAATCTGCTGGCCGTTTGTTCAAGTATCCCAGAATACCAGGAAGTGTTGACTGCGGAAGCAGACACTGCGGAGGCCTCTGTTGCGGCGATGGTACCCCCGTGATCATTTTCGCCTTGTTTGCTTCCACCATTTTGGCAGCCAGTTCTCGGATCTCCGCCTCATCGGGAAGTTCTTGTTTGACAACGACTTTATCAAAAGCTGGAAAAATAGAAAACACGCTCTTATAATATTTATATGTATGACAACTGTGAGACAGAGAATGTACAACTTTTTTCAAACAGTCACGATCATCTGCACTTTTATACTTGTAATCACTGATCGCTTCACAATTGTTTGCTATTTAATCCTATACGTACAATATTATTTACATTGACAACGACTTAGTTTTGTTAAGAATAATCAATATTATAAAATTCCAGTTAATTAAATAATGATAAATTTCATTTCATTTCATTTCATGTTTCAACAGGCTAAAAAATTTCTCTGAATCAAGACGTTCGTTATTTTTTAATTGTTTGAAAAGTGATTAAGTGTATGAAAAATACAGGCGACCACCGATAGAGAAGAGCGCGGGAAAGTACACTTATCGCGTGCGGGAAAGTCAACGCACAATTACAGCTAACGAATTATCCGAGCAATTAACTCTTATTTATTTTGGGAACGATGACTCATTATAATTGCCAATTGCATTCGTCGTGAAGGTCATAAGGTTCATTTGCATAACGAAACTGTATTAGATGAAATTCGACACTGTCATTTACGTGAAGATATATATATACAGCATACAACACGTGTTCCAAGATCTACGCGCGCCAGCACTGTCCGATTAAATTATTTATTTCTGCGCTAAATCGTTGAATATTCAATTAGAATTATAAACATCGATGATTATCTACTCGTGTTACACAAGAAAATTACGATCTTCTAGACAAAAACACACAAAAAAAAAGAAAGAAAAAGAACGTAATAACACAGCAGAAGATCGTTATCAGTAAATTGCATGATTCATGTGCGTACACAAAATTGATAATACTCAAAATTGCAAGATTCTCTGAAACACGCCTGACTAGAACGTATCCGCGAAAAGAATCCACAAAATTTTGAACCTATAGTTGCGCACACGCAGTTTTGTAAAACGTCAGGTACTTCAAAACACTGTACACGTGACATCTGTTAATTGATCGTTGGTTGTTTAATCGATTTGAATCCGCCGTCACTTGCGTCGAAACGATCGTGGATTGTCGTCTGCGAAAGACCGAGATGCTCCTCTTCTTCGAAATCGAACGGAGAAAAAAAATACTCTCTGGCGCTCTTTTCGGCCGACATCGATTATCAGACGAAAACAATGGACTAACCGAGAGTGTGCGCGCACGTGTGCATTAAGATACGTAGAAAATTCACCGCGCTAAATATTCGCAAAGACGCAATACACATCTATCGAACTTTCGTGCGATGAGAAAGATGCATTTGAAAACGTACTGAGTGACACTTGATCGGGCGCCGTCTGCAACGGGCTCCTTCTTTTCTCGAGCCATATGGCGTCCGTGCTGCTATCAGCGTTCACCGTATGCATGTCTGTGATATCGTTCCTCATCCTCGGCGATCAACGATGCTTTCCAGTCAAATCAGAATCACATATCGGTTGAACGGGTGGCGAGTCAGCAGAGAGGTTATACGCGCTGCGTCTACCGATGTGCACTGTCGATGGGACGACACACGACCATGTTACACGACGAGATGTGCGAAACACAGGCTCAGACTCAACTCTCGGGGACAGAGGAAAAAGTTCTATCCTCCTCCACTGTGTTTCGACTCTCTCGGCAGCTCCAAGTTTTCACGCTTTCCCTCGACAACGACGACGACGACGACGTTTTCACTTGCCAGTCGCAATTATTATAGCAGGTGGCGCGAAAGAGTTTTCGATTTGACTCTCGAGAGATTTCCGTGAATAGAGAAAACGTACGTAGATACACGGTGGTATCGTTCACACTGGCGATGTACGTGCCGTTCGTAACACGGGCGTACCTCTGGACCCCGGCGAAGCCTCGCCGTTGATTAAGGTGCTCTCGGCCGAGGATAGCGCCATTTTACGCGGACTTGATTTTACTTCGCCTCTGTAAATCTCCGATTTCAGTCCGTCCAGCAAGCCATGCCGTAGCATTGAGCTGTCTGCCTGCAGCTGCACGGGGCACTACGCATTCCGCGGTCTAGCCGACCGCCAATCCTTACGGAGCAGAGCACGACACGACGCTTAGTTTTCCATGCTGACTGTACACGTTAGTATCGTACCTCCGCGAGACCAGTATCAAGCACCCGTTGTCTTCAACTTTCCATTTTTAGGAATCTGACGTTTCGGTCGCACTCCTTAATTTCCATCGATAATTCCCCCAGATAACCCAATTTTACCTAGCCGCGATATTTTTAAATGACAACTTACTATACACGTAAACATAAAAGCGTTCGATACTAATGAATTTTATCGAGTGAATCGATTCTTTTCATTCTTTGTTAACACGTCAGTAAGCTTTTATTTTATTTTCCCCTGTGACATATAAAATTGCAGGACACTGTGAATTTTATCGAATATATTTATGTCACTTGAAATGTCACTTTAAATGATGATAATCTTGAAAAACAGTAGGTTCAAAAGCTAAAGTAATCTGTCATGATATTATTTATATCACTGTGCAATCAATTGAGAATTTGTATTAAAATTATCTACTGTATACAAAGGTTCTTGCTGTTTTGGATAAAAAGAGATCACTAGTCTCCCCGATAGCTACCGCCATCTAGCCGTCGCACTCAATATTATCAATTACATAAAATTCACTTCCAGATATACGTGTTGCGCATGCGCCGCCAATTTAAATAAATTAATATTAAATACAAATAATTTAAAAATTAACATTATCGCAACGGATTCTTAAATTTCGCTTGATTATAACAATTATTTCGATACGAAAGAATATTCATTATTTTGCAGGAAGTAAATACTTTGTAAGATAGAAGGCAGAGGTTCTGTTTATACTAATTGCTATATTTTGATGTTCGATACACAAACCTATATAAGAGACCGTTGCTTGGCAGCAGTCTTTAGTCGAAGCCGATCAGTGACAAGTGAAGGATGTATTTAACTTTCTGCTGCAAAGATGATAAAGTTTCAAAGTTGGAAGAAATGATTTAAGTACGTTTCTTCTTTTTTTTTTTTCTTTTTTTTTTTTCTTTTTGTTGCTCTAATTAGATATTTAGGTAGATTTAGGCATAATTTGTTGTGATATAAATAAATATATTACTAAAAGTAACATGCATAAGATTGTTTCAATTTTTAAATTCTGCAGCGAATTAAGTATTTAAATACCGAGAAAATTGAAAAACAAGATTAAAAAATCTTTATGCGCTATGGTAATACGCATGCTTGTCACATGTCACTCATACTTCAAATAAAAAAAATCTTTATTATTCCTCCTTTATTATCAGGTTTCGTAAATTGCATTTTAATAATATTTTAGCATATATATTATTGCGCATATTATTAACAAGAATATAACAAAATTAGATTTCTTGATAAGAGTATTAGCCACATATATCCTCCATAACCTTAATATCACGTTTAATCAAATTTTGTCTATGTATACATATACTATGTTTCACTTTCAAAATTTTTTACTGCCTATATAGCTGTCAGAAATCGAAACAATGATCAACAGAGATCCACTGCTTCTCATCTTCAGTGTGGTGTGTCATCGTTTCTTCATTCACAGAAGATTCATAAAATTATGAAATTTTATGCTAGATACGTCACTGAATCGTATAAATAGGTGAACCATATCCTCGATCGGATTTCGCATCGTGTGTCAGGGATCGGCTGCAGCAGCTAGGTACATACCGCTCAAAGAGTGGCCAGGGCCAGCGCGTAAGATCGCGCAGACGATGTGACAACGTTGCACGGTCGATATGCTCTTTCAGGCAAAGTGCCAAGATTGGTAAACGCACGCGGGGGTATATAGTCGCGGTTTCAGGTGCCCTTCCCTCCTCTAACGCCCGCGTTTCATCCCCACCCTCACTCCTGGAACTTACCCGTGGGATTCTGCGTGATAGTGGGGGTCGAATAACAAGGGTGGGGGAGTTGAAGCTGCGCAGAACGTCGCCAGACATACGCCACTGTTTGTGCCTCTGCGCAGCTCTTACATACATATACCCAACCGTCTCCTATGTACTACATATGTATTATACTTATTATTTTAATCATGATTTACGGCTGCAACGTTGCCGGTTCTCGTTGCAGGCACGCCCACTCGGTCTCTCTTTTTTCACTTTTCAGTCGTACATATTAATACATAGACACACGCGGGGGAAAAAGTAACGTCGCTTGATCGATACTTAAAGAAACATAATATAATAACAAAAAGATATGCGGAATTATATTTGTCAGCATCGTACGAACACGATAAGCGTACATTCTTGCAAATAAAGATACATATCTTTGTGAAGGTACAAGGTAAAATATCTTCAGCTCTTGTACATACGAAATTAAAAACAAAAAGTATTTTCAAAAATCAGTAACTATATACATAGTAACTAGAAGTGTTTATTGCTTTTTTACTTCCATTGCGTTATTTTAGTAAAACAGACATTAATCTATATGATCGTGCAACGTTGCCATTACAAAATGGCTGTCGCGGCCTTGATTGGCCCGATTTCTTCTATGGTATACGCTGGGCCAGTCGTTTGGCAACACTGGTCGGTCGTAGCAATCTATTTATAGTAGCTCTCTATTGCTGCTGTTGCTATGCCAAGTGGTGGCACAGTTTGCGGGGAGGGGAGACAGTGGACAATGGAGGGGGAAGAGATTACTAAAGAACAATATGGCGTTGAACCGGATGTGCCCTCTACGAATCTATCCATTCTCTTTGCCATAACTGCATTGTCTTTCTCTCTCCCTTCCCGACATTTCTCATCTTCCTTATATAATCCCCTTTTTCTTCCTAATAGCAACGTATTTCTTCCTACGTTTTGTTCAATTACGAAATCAAAAGAGCAAACATTACGTAACACGGTGAAATATACCGTCTGTGCGGATACAATTGAACGCCTTAATCGCAGTAAGACAAGGTCACCGCGTTTTATGTGTATTTTACGACAGGAAGAACGAGGATGACTCGAGGGGAAGAAAATAAAAGAACGTTTGATATATCTGCGACAATGGAGACGAACGATCTAAACACGCTCTATTATTTTTTTTTAAACGTAATTTTTTGCGCAACTCGCTAGGATTGCATATGGCGGCGTACACTTGTAGCAGCTGACAAGCGTCATGGTGTGCGTTTCCATGGCACACAAGCACGCATGCGACTTGCACGAAGCCGCCGCTTCGGGAATGCTCGGCAAACTTCGTGGAACTGCCTCTTTGTTACATCATTCTTTAGCTCTTATGTAGTACATAAGGGCGGGTACATTATATACTGTGTCTGCACATATTTCCCTCCCAGCTCTCGCTCTCGTATATACAGCGTATATAGTTGCCTTTGCATATATGTGCCGGCGGAGCGAACGGGCGGGCGGCGGTCGGAGGAGTGAGCTCGGCTCCGCGTTACACGAAGCGCACAAATGTGAATCAACTAGAATGGACATTAAAGTATATGTAAGATATATCTGTTTTATCATCAATAATTCTACGAAATATAATAAAGGAAATTTTTAATTATCCGATTCCATGTTGAATTGCTATAACTCTATTAGAGAATACTTTCACAACTTCATAGTAACTTTAATTAACTTGTTATTTGTTTCCACTGCAAAATATAACGATGCTTTTAGTGGAAATGTTATTATTCCATTACTGAGTAAACGCGTGTATTTATATTCTTTATATATGTAAATTTTAAACTTTCATCAAAAAATATGTTTTACTGAAACATTAAAAATTATACTACTTGACGTACGAAAATTATGTTGAAAAAACAAAATCCAGGAACAGCTTTGCACAATGATTTATCAACTATTTTGATTTTTAATAAATTGACAAATTACAAGATATAGGTTATACACGTTTCCTTTGTGATTTTATAATGTTTTGTTAAATAGAACGGAATTAGCGATTTTTAAAATTTATTTACGAAACTTGTTATCATTGTACAAGGTCATTTGTTAATATTAATAACTTGTCATTCGCAAAATCTTACCAATGATATTAGTTCAGATAGTAAAATTTGATTATTCCATTTACAACAATTAATGTGAAAAAACAGTTTTGAAAAAAATATTTCTAGTTCGAAATTAGTAATTGATATTTATGATTACTTTTTATCACATTCGTGGCGCCAAAAAGCTTTTGAATCACATAAAATTGTCCCATTTTTTATCTATAATTAATTAACTTCTATTGTTCTTTCATCTTTCTGTTTCAGTTACATATTTCACCTATTAATAGTGGGATCGACAGTACTAGTAATATTTTGTCAGTTTAATAATATTTTGACAGAAAACCTAACCTTAAATCACTAAAAAAAATTACAATTATAGGGAAATAGGGAAACAAGATTGATTGGATTAGTTAATAAAAAACTAATGATCGTTCTTAGCAATAAAAAACTATACTGAATTTTGTTCGTTGCACTAATATACAAATCTATAGTTATATATTATTTTTCTGTATAATCATATCGCATAATGTAACAATAATTTAACGCGATATACGGAACTGAAAAAATAAACCATCTATAGATAAACATACAACCGTTAGTATCTGAATATAATGAAATTTTTATGAACGAACATATCTATATGTAATCTTTCATTAATATAAACAAGATTTTAATAAAGGACGACACGCTTTAAGCTCCTCGTAATATTTTATCTTTATGAAAGTTACACGGTTCTCTGATTTAAGTATTCATTACACAGTTTCTTCCCAAAAAAATATCTACGATATTGCCAGGATCATCTTACCGTTTGCTTTAAATAAACCATGACGTCATCCTCTGCAAGCACACGCGGATAAAATGAAATGTGAATTAACATCCTTTTATTGATCATATATCGGAACGTATTGCAAATAAGTCTTGTTATTAACGATTTATCGTGCGCGTAAATATTAAATAGCTATAATCAATATATCATGTATATTTAATGGAATATAGAAACATTTTTGCAAACATCAGGCACGGTGCACGTAAATATCATTAATCACGATACTTCTTTCGATATCACATAACCTAACAATCACAGTAGACATAAACAATCTTTACAAGTTATTCCTCTGCATAATGTGTCGTTCAAATACGATAATCCAAACTCAATTAAGGTTACACTACTATTGGCGACAAAAACGAATTCACAACAAACATGTATCCACAGCACGTAAGAGTTTTTAGTATTGTACAAGACTTAATAAACGTTAGACGTTTACGTAGTTTGCATGTGTGATTCTATGTATGTGCACATACCTAACAAAGTAATTATAGCACGCACAATGTTTGTAAACGACTGAGGAGTGATTAAAAGAAAGGAAAAAAAGTCTTTAAAAAAAGAAGCCGTTGTACAGAATGAAAAAAAGGAATGAGAGATAGTACAAGATAAGTGGAAATACACATCAAATTTTAGAAACAGAACAGCGCTGCGCAGTCAAATTCCACGTGTGTTGTTGCAACGGTATATTGTCAACACACGAGAGATGCAGATGTTGACAGGTAGTCGCATCGAGAGGAACCACGTTTTGCCGGGTCTGCACGAGGTGCAGATCATAGAAAACAGAAAGCACGATGTGTATACCTTCTAGGCACTGGGCACTGGTACAACACAGCGAGAGGCTATCGTGATTGGACGTGGTAGGAAATCGAGTGAGGAGAACACAACCGGGAAAGATGAAAAAGGATGGTTATGTGAGTGTCTAAACGAGGGAGGAATACAGATAGATGGAAAGAGAAAAAGAGACGGAGAATATAGGAAGGGAGAGAGAGAAAGAGAGAGAGAGAAGAGGGGGAACGATACGCGCGAGTCTGCTATCGCAGCCACCGCGACCGCCGCCGCCACCCATAACCTCAAAACTTACCTCTGTTGATTCGGGCTTCGACGATTTGTACGTCTTCGTCGATGCTCCTGTCGTTCATCTTCTTCTTCTTCTCGTTAACCTGAATGTCCATGCACATAATTCCACAAAACGAAACAACACTTCCGCCACACGGTCACGCTACCCCTACGTTCCCGTGACATTTACATGAAACTATATGTGCGCGCGCGCGAAATATAGCATATCACACTTACGAATGGGGAAAGCGAAAGGGTCGTCGCACGAGGGCGCCGCGAAATGCGCCTGCTGCGTGTCGCGAGGTCTATTTCGTGGTTGTTGTACTTGACAATGGAACGACGAGGCACACCAGCGATACGCACGAGGAGAGAGGAAGAGATATTGTCCTAAGCGAATCGCATGGAACGATTTGGTCCGGTTGCCTTGTTATACCGCGTACACGCAATTCTCTCGCGGCCCGCGTTTTCTGCTGTTTTGTGCGGAGGTGAACCGAGAGGCCGACCGGGTTCCGTCCAGATTTGAATGTGGTACACGTTGCCAGTTCTTTCTCGTACCCCCTTTCGTCCCCCTTCCCACTTGTCCTTATGTACTTAACGGTTGCGACGTTGCCGCACATCCGGTACCAATGGACCAGTGGTGGGGGAAGAGAATTTTGCAAAGGAGTGGGGGATGTACATAAGTACCTGACAACGCCATAGTGGGGACTGTGAAATAGGGTGGGGGAGAGCAGGGGGTATGTACATAGAGAAGGGGAGAGGGTTGTTGCTCGGGAATGGGAATTTTCCATGACGCTTCGGGGCAACAGCGACCGTTAGCTAGGTCACGTGGCTTTACCGGAAGTCGTAAGGGCGACGCGCCACGATGTGCGCGCCCTCCTGTTCCGCTTTTAAATTTTTCCCCTTCAAACAACGATTCTTTTCGCTCAACTTTTTTTTTTTTTTATTTTTTTTTTATAAACCATGTTGATCAACATCGTACATTAGAGAAGGAGGACAATAATCAAAATGATTAAGTTTTAACTTTATAATTAATGAATCGATCAATTCCATAAATTTGAAAACTGGAAAATTTGCCGTTACTTTTGTTTGTTTATTCGTGCAGGCAAATCGCTCGTCTCTTGAAAATTGAATGTCAAATAAAAAAATGTAGTTGATCAATTTGACTCATATTTATAAACAGATTTCAGAAGTGTGTTCTCTTGCAAATGTCAAGGACGACTTGGCTTAGCGTGACACCAAACGTATGTAAGTACCACATAGTTCACATTGAGAGTAATAAAAAATAAAACATAACAAAAATAGTGTAGTATCTAATTCACGTTATTTTATTCCACTGGAAACTACATATATAAACCAAGCGCATTATAAATAAAAGCTTAATGCACAAAAAATAGGTATAAATAGTTCGCGAGTATAGCCCTTAAGCGAACCCTTTGCGATTCAACGAAAAAGAAGGAAAAAAAAAAAAGAAAACGAAATGTCACACACGTATATCTGTAGTTCGTATCATTTATCACGCTATTTATATACACCGTTGTAGGAAATACATGCGCGAAGATCGATTTATCAACGAAAATTAATTAAATACGAAATGTTTCCCTTTCACTGTTTCTTTTTTTCGATCCGAATGGAAAACTAGTCGCATACTCCGCGCAATATCTTCTCACGTGTATTTTCAGTGAAGGTTTTTATAAATAAAAAAAAGACAATGACATATTGCAGCTTTTACGTGCTGTATAATATTAATGTTGCCGTAGAGTGCCATTTGCATTGAAAAATGAAATACAAAATTATTTATTTTTTTCCATAAATAAATATGAACATTCTAAATATATGTACATACATTATGACACAAGTGACACGGTGTGCACGGGAGAAAGAAATTCACGAACGTGCTACCGCTGTAAATAACATTAATTAAAGTTAACAAAAATACAGTTAAATGCAAAATCTAAATCACTGCATTGTGCATTGCTCAATGGAGGTCTCGGAGGTACGTTGTCCAGACTCTTCGATATCTTTAGTAGCTAATAGCCCTTTGGTGCTTTCGGCTTCTTTCATCCAAATTTGTACCTGTCGATTGGCATGATAATTTATTATAAAATGGAAAAAATAAATCGTGCATTAAATATACATGTACACACACACACGTGCGCGCGCGCGCGCGCACGTTTACATTAATAAACGTAATAAAAGCACACAATAAATGTTGCGAGTAATCATAAAATTTAATTACGACGTTGCATCGAATTATTTGTCTCGCAATATTGAAATCGTTCGATCGTTAGTTATTAAAAAATAACGTAGAAAATAACGTGGTACATTTAAATTCAAGAAACGTTTGAACGACCATAGGTTTGTCAGTTGCAGCATTGTAACATTTATAATAGTTATCATTTACTTTTTATTACTTATTGAGAAATCGGAGGTATTCGTAATTAATTACGATAATTTATCTTGATACGTTATAAGATATCAAATTAATGACGTCCAATGGCCATCTGTTGTTTAATAGAAGCAACATATGATTGTTGAAAATTATTTGTTATTTCAATCGAAATTAAATTGATGAATAGTGTAATAATTAAGACAGCCAGTCGTAATTTGTTTGCAACGCGTTATTTCTGTAATTATAACAAACCGCAAATGAAAACAATTAAGAATGAAGAGAAAATTGAATCGAAGGAAGTTAAATAAAAATTATTTTTCCTTGAGCCATTGAAGTAAATAGTTGCTACGCGAGCAAGTGATTATGTTCGAGAAAAGGAACACCTGCCAATACGTGCCAATTAAAAATGACAAAATCACGATTTGTAATATTTTATTTCATTTTAACAGTCGAACTTGTCGTAAATAGGTATGAGGATTTATTATTAAAGAATCCCAATTTGAATTTAGATTCATATAAAAATGAATTTTCTAGGTCGATCAATTTCTCTCGTTATTTTTATAATATATTCCAAACTCTGTAGAATACCATTGAGAATGATTGAAAACATATACTGAATTAATTGAAAAGTAGACTCTGCAAGTAAAAACTTTCAGCAAAGATGAAAGATAGGGAATTTACTTTGTTACTTCAACGTCTGGTTAAATTGACTTCGAGCCGTCATATTTATACGTTGAAAATGTACTATCGCACTACTTTTAATTTGATCTCCGAATAAATAATTACAGTAGCTGACCTTTCCTCGATTTCTTTGTCTTTGTATGCATATTTCACATGAAACAGGCCATCAAATAAAATAAATGTTCTTAGTTGTGTTACGCAAAATGTAACGGTGAGAATAACTCTTATTTATAATAGGGTCTAGAATTATTATTACCGATATTACTGATGTTGTTGACAATGATTAATTATTAATAATTCTTATTTACCTGTTTGTGTAATAAATCTCTTCGTCGGCCTGGAGGTTCCTTTCCCAAAAGAGGTACCAATATTCCTAGACAAGACTGAAATTTTTCTAAAGCGAGCGCATAATTTCCCTCCGCGAGATACAGTTCGGCGACTTCTCCAATCTCAAGGCCATCCGCCATACTGGTCGTGCTTTTGCTAAGCGTCCCTATCGATGACAAATACAACAATCGATAATTTACGTGGGATTTTCAAGCCATTTGATACTTCCATCAGGAATAATTAAATACAACTGATTTATTTCCGATATTTCTCGCGCGTTCTCTGCATTTTTGTATCCTTAAATTTTCCCACCAAATGTATGAATAACTAAAGCTACGAATATTTATGGATTTATGGAAAATTTATGAATTTCCATAGCGTGAAAAATATACGTAAAATACACGTATCAGTAATAAATTCGATAAAAAATGACCTACACATTTGCATAAACATCCATAGTCCATTACCAGTTGCAATTAAACAGGCTTAATAATTTCGTGGAGCTAACGTTTAGCAAAAGAATAATCGTAAAATAATATCTGCTGGTACATGAGAACGGTCACTATCAATTACAGCTTGTACTTGCTGCGTGAAAGAAATTTTCTGTTGTCAAGAGGATCCAGTTAAAACGGAGTCCATTTCAATAATTTCGAAGACGCATCGCCCTTTTCTCATTTCTCTTGGAACACATTTCATTATATCCCTAACGACGATTATAATGAATAAATTGTAAACTAATATGTCAGGAACTTTCCCGTTTCCTAATTGGAATTACATATACATACGCATTGTATAAAATGGCCTGCAACTTCGTATAGATTTTTTTTTTTTTTCAATTCTAATGAACTTCATTTCGTGCACATGTGTATTATATTTACACGAAAAATTTTAATTGCAAATTTAATTTCAGATAAGCTCTTGTAGCTCCCACGTATTTCGCGGAATATTATTTTAAATTATTTGTCATTTCAAATTTCGTTGTCCAACGAAAAATCATGATAAAAATCACGTAATTGACGATTCGCGTCGAACAAATCGTATAATTATAAAGAGTTTGATACAAACGTACGTAGCTCGTGATGTACGAATGACGGCTCGTTTAAAGATGATATCCTCTGGATAGAATTCCCTTTATGCTCCGCAGGAACACACTTATCTTTATCGTCACTAGGGTCTGTACACGATGCCTTCAGCGTTTCTGCCCTTTTAATGTAATCATTTACTCGCGATCTTAAATTCTCTTTCCTCTTTAAGTCAGTCTCACCTGACGAAATAATCAAGTTATTATACAATATTGTATTTAGCATCGAGTGCAAATATTAATACGATAGAGTAGTACTAAATGCTATTACGTATTTGATAATTCAAATTAAAATTAACATGTAATTATAGCTATGTAATGACGGTTAAGTAATATCCAGTCTTATGATATCTCAAGTTATGATCCAGTCTTTCTTTCTTACTTGTAACAACGGGGATAAAATATCTGAGGGCCTCGCAATACAAATGAAAAGCCTCTCTCGAACTTCCCTCCGCGTCCATTTTCACGGCCTTCTGAATCAACTCGACCGCCTTCTCGTAATTTTCTTTTGTTGGCGCGTAAGCCAAATCCAGGAAATCATGAGCGAAAAACTCATCGAATGTTATCCTCTCGCGAGGCTCGTGCCTCAGCAAGGACATCAACAAATCCTTGCACTCCGGCGACACATGCGATCCTTTCGGTAACTGTGAGTGCATTCGACATCGACAAATACAGCGAATAAACAATTTTCAAACAAACAAGGAATATACAAGGGACAAAAATATAGCGTTCGTGCAATCGGAATATTCGTGTAGAAATATATTCTACGTTGTTAAAAATATATGATTAAACACACACACACACACACACACACATATACATATATATATTTTAATATCAAATTTAACAAATATGCTTATTAATATCAAGTGAAATTAGAATATATTCCGTATTGTTGAATGTTTTATAAATTATTATTGATTAATAGAAATGAGGAGAGACATACTATTCCCATATTATTCAAATGTATGTGACTGTATATGTTATACACAGACATTTACAGCGATGGGTTTACACAAACGAATGTTAATTAAATTATTTGGTAATTTATAATTGGAGACCAGATTCATATAATAGTAACGTTTTGTTGACACGAAAATATTTCGTTACGGTTGATTATCGATCAATTTTCGAGTTATGACGACAAACGACATATTTTAAGGTGTTATATTATAATTTAAAAAAAAAAAAAAAAAAAAAAAAAAAAAAAAAAAAAAAAAAAAAA